TGCTCACTTAAACTAAACAATGATCATAATATATTAACAAATTTTTAACGTATTTACAAATTACATCAAATCACCTAAAGCAAGTGGGTTTAAAGTCGTGTAATATTTTAATTTTGCCTTCCCCCTTTGAATTAAAAAATTGATTTTTCTGTGGGGCGTGTGCCCCCCGTTGGGAATTACTAGTCTAGGAGTGCAATTTTTTGATCTACTACCAGATTTAATCAATAATTGAGTGATCATCAATTCCACAGCACTTCATCAGATTTTTAAAGATCAAAGTTTCTATGAATATGCATACAAATTTCAAATTGTAGGCCGAAATTTAGACAATAAGTCTATTGAAATATCAGGGTAACTCTTCTGCTATAAATTGTCAACTAATTTACCAATAAATAAATGTCAATAAAACAATGATTGAAAAAATTACCAATAAATGTTGGATTGTAAAGGCGATCGAACGAGCGTTGTAAAAGCGAATTTACAAGCGATCGAACGGCTTATATTTTTGCCTTAGATGGCAAAAAATTCATACAATTATTAAAATATTACATTTTTTTGCAGTTCTTATGCTTTTGTATTTATAGAATTGCTTTTTTTGCTACAATCAATTTCCATTATATGAATGTCTTACATTATTTATTTTATTCGACTAACGCCCGCTATGTCCGAAACAAGTCCAACTATATCCGAAATAATCGGGCATCAGACACTTTTCGGTCTTAAAGTAACATATGTGAAATTTGAAATATACTACTGTTTTGTAATTAATATTTCAGTTCAAACATCTCAATTTGTAACTAAATTAAAAACGACTTTGATAAAACCAGTGGGTTGTTGTGCTAATATTTTGTCGGAACGCTAAAATTTAAAAACTGGTTCATGAACCGGTTCAAAAACCGGTTCTTATGTTTTTTCCGGTTCCGTTCGAAAACGAATTATGTTTTTTCCGGTTCCGTTTCGAAAAATTATTACAAAAACCATTGTGTGCACATGTATGTATGTTTATTACAATAATAAGAACATTAATAAAAATTAAAAAAATTAGTTGAATATTAATTTATAAAATTTACTTATTAAATCATTTTGTATGTAGCGATTTTTTTTATATTTTTTCTTGCCGGAACGCGTTCCTTCCCAAAACTGATTTGCCGGATAAAGAGACCTGTTGTAAACGCTGTCTGCGAATTTATTTCTTTAGCAATTTAAATTAAATCACTTCGGTCAAATTGATTCAGTATTGATTGATATTTCTGTATTTAAAATCTGACAATGAATTAACTATCTTTAATTTACATTTGGAGTTTGATTAAAATCATACGTATACTATGAAGACTAGCCACCCATTTATCGAGTAATATTTTACTTTGTATTTGATTTTTTGAATCAACATACCTCTCCTGCATGACTGGAGCCAAATTTTTCAACTACGTTTAGACAATATCTAGGGACCGGAGCCAACTCGCTTTCGCGGCAACTGTACGGTCTGCCCATACTCGGCGCAATGTTCCAGCACACAACTGGAGGGGCCACCTGAAATAAATTTATAGTCATAATTATTCATACATATATTTGAATTAAAAACTTGATTCAGCAACATAATATATAACTATTTGTAATATTAATACAATGCTACAGATTCATAAATTCCAAAGGCCAAAATGTGTCATATTTAATAGCGGTAACTTATATTTTTTTATAAAAAATAGCAATATACCAAACTAGCAAGTTACTATACAATTTTATAATCTATTGTAAGCTATCATTACATAAACAAGAAAAAAAAGTTAGAATATAAAAACATAATAATTTAGATTTCACTCCATTGAAAGTAGTCTAATGTCCCATTTGAGCAGTAACTAATGCAAACATAATACATACATTTCTTTCCAAATTTTTCAATCTTAGATAATGCGCTAACTAATGATAGTTATTTTGGAGAATAAAATTAATAGCCGTTTAAGCATGTAATTATAATTATTAATTAAAAATATGCAAAGCTGATAATCTGATTGTGAGAATCAATAAACTTTAACAATTATAGTTTGTTGCATAGGATCAAATATTTTGTTCATAATATCCCGAAATAATAATTTAATCGCAAGCTAAAAATCTCTTGTAAGTATAGGTCACTAGATTACTTGTTTATTAACAAAATTTGAAAGTATATAGCGTGAAACATATTGTGTGCTTTTATTACAGTTCACTGTAGGCAGGAAGAATTTATGTTATCGTCAGAAAATACGTTAATTCTGTGCTTTATGTGCGTTTCATGTTATTCTGAATCTTTTAAGATTGAAATTGAACAAAACATGTATGAGTAAAACAAAATTTTACATTCGTCATTTCCTCAAAAAAAGCTTGAAACTTCATAAAAGGACGATGTCTGCGTAGCCGTTTCTTCACAATTGGCAAATAAGTAAAAATTTTTTCGTCAAAGATTTAGCCAATAATGCGGAATTAATTTAACACTAATCATACCAAGACTTAATATATACCTAATTATACCATAGCGGGTCAAATGACCCGACTCTATGTTTCATGGTTGAATATATGAAATATGGATGTTAAAAAGAAAATAAAAATAAAATTAAATTTATTATAATCAAACAAAAAAGTATGTTGAGCATTTCTATTACAAAAAAAAAATAAAAAAAAAATCATAGTTAATCGCCTTTTTTACATATAATTGTGTCCATTGTACATTTTCCGCAAGCATATTTTTTACATTTAGAGCAAATTTTGTTGGTTTATTTTCTTTACAGTATCTCTTACAGTTTATTTGACATCTCATATGTTTATAAGCATCTGTAGTAAACTTAGTCAACGATAATTTCGTATTTGTTTCTTGTTTTGGTGTGTTCAAAGACTTCTCGAAAATCGGGGCAAAAAAGTTCTTCTGCTAGCTTTAGTAAAAAATTTTGTTGCGAGATATTTTCTCCTGTCGTTTGTTTGTACAAAATCCAGGCATTTATGCCAGCTAAATCAAGGATATTGAAAAAAACTTGGAAAGGCCATCTGCAAGACTTGGATTTTGTAGTAAATTTCCTCGCCATTTGATCTGTCATGTCTACACCAAATTTGGTTTTATTGTAATATGAAACAGTTTCAGGTAAACATTTATTTATTGTTTCTTCATCGTCGGTATCTGTTGAATCAAACTCATTTTTATTTTCAACCAAATATCTTCATTTTCAGAAAATTCACCTTCACTAATTTCTGAAAACTCTTTGCCAATATTATTTATATCTTGTAAGAACTTGTAATGTCTTGTTTTCTTCGACATTTTTCTGGGTAAAAAATAACCTGTATTACTATAGCTATCAAAATAAAATATAATCTAGGTACTTACCAAGACTTTCAATTTCTGCCACTTTTTCTAACAATAAAAAGCTATTTTCAATCTAAAATTTGATATTTTCTTGAAATTATTCTGAGCTATTTTCGTTGAACTACTTTACGCAACAGTGTTTAGATAATGTGCAACTTACTGACTACAAAATATCACTCGACAATCTCATAAACCAAAAAATTCTCTCGGGTCAAATGACCCATTGTGGTAGATATCGGTATACAAGAAGGATTACTCAGAATAAACCAAACATAACAAGAAAAAAATGTTGTTTATAACTGTACTTTAATTACTCAAAAAAAGTCATGAAGTCAAATTTGCAACGCAATGAAATTATACGTGCATTTTCAATGCAAAAGTTCAAAATGGGTCATTTGACCCGTTATGGTATGTTTAGTGTTAAAAAACTAAAAAACTGTTTAGAAGACATTGTTGAGAATCGAAGTGATTGGTTTTTGATAAAGAGCAGCCGGGGAGTTTTTTCGTAATTAGTTGTTGAAAATTTTTTTCGACGTTTTTCATGATAACTTTTGATGATGGAGTTCATGATCATAAAGAGTATACTATAATGTTATGGGCCTACGCCTAATTTTTAAAATTCATCAATGTTTTGAATAATGAGCCGCATCAAAATTTTAAATTTCTATCGTTAAAATTTTCAAAATTTCTCATTCTCAATTAATACTGATTAGATCAATTATTAACGCTTACTAAAAGGTATGAATAAAATACTAAAAGAAGGCAATTATAATGAATATGTAAGACACTTATATAATATATATTATATATATATATATGTATGTAATAAAACAAATATACTAGCTGACCCGCAAACAAATTCAAAATTATGCGTCTAAAATATTTAATTATATTGTTAATTTATCATGGTTGTAACAAATTTTGAAAGATCGTGTGCATATATTTTCTTCGAAGCATATTCCAAATATATAAATATAAAATTGTAAATTTTGTAGACTATTTTGCTTTTGTTTAAAATATTTGTCATTATGAAATATGAACCTAAGAAAAACAAAAACATAATAATATCTCACCCTATGCCTATCCCTTGGTGCAGTATGACACCTCTTCGTCCTTTCTGAAGATTCCGACTTCCTTCCAACAGTATGCTGATCACTCCTCCGCAGCGAATCATTATTATTATTAATCGACTGAGGTTGCTGGTGGTATGGTCCCAAACATGATCCTTTTCCGGCTACCCTTGATCTGCCATTTGGAATCAGGGTCATGGACCCGTTGCTGGTCGCGCTGATCAGTCGCCTGGTGGGCGTAGCTGGAGACTGTGCAGACATAATCGAAGGTGTTACCGTCGGTGATGGGCTGGCGGACGGTGCCGATTTTGCAGAAACTGGAAATAAATTTTTATCATGTTATAATCAAAGTTATAAACATATTCTTGGATGAAATCAGTTTAGCTATCACACTTCTTACTCGTTTACATTAAGATAGAATAGAAAGAATAAAATTAGTCAAAGCTTGTGAGTTTTTGAAGAAGTATTTGTTTTGTTGCTGAATAGTTTATCTCACGATACTCTTTTATATCTGAGAGACCACAAAATCAATTGAAAAATTTAATTATGATTTAACATTGAATTTGCAATTGGTTTTGCAGTCTCCCAAATGTAAAAGAGTCTTGTAAAAAAGACTTTTTCACGACTATGGTTACACTTACAGTTCTTTTTTTTAAAGACTAGATAATTATTATTTTATTAGCCTATATCAGACCTCCAAAGCAGAAAGCTATTGATTATAAATGTAGTTCATTTTTAATCAATGATATTTTCTGGTCAAAGTTAACGCAGAGAATATGTTTAACTAACTTAGTATCTCCAATTGTTAAATTATTTTATTGTTCTAATAAAGATAATTATACATTTTGTTTCGTTCCAAATTTATCAAACTTAGATAATGGGTAAACATTTTTGTGATTGCTATATAGTATAAATATTTATCTTGATTACTATATTAATAAAAATTAACTCATGCAATCAGTTTAAACAAAACCTTGGAGGTAGTCGTAACATACAATAAGTATATATTTAAGTTAAACAGATTGGGAGAAATAAATAAGTAATGAATTGTGGACATATAAAATGTGTTACAGGATACTCTATATGTTTTATTTGTATTATGATATGAATTGTAATTCACGTTTATTCAAGAAAGAGAACTAAAATATATATTATATAGTTTATTTATATTCGGCATTGCTTGCGTTGTTAAATTTAAAAAAATTAGAAACAAGTAAATTTTCTTAAAAATGAGTAAAGAATAAATTGATATGGGCATTATTGTCGTTTTTTTGTTGTCAAAACGTTGTAACATAGTAATCTATAAATTGATTAATTATGAAATAATAAACAATAGCGGTGAAATTATTATTAATACTTGATTCGATAAAAGAATTATCACAGCATCTATTCATCTTCATTCCGTGGAAATATAAATAAAAGATCTCAAGATATATTAATTATACATATGTATCTATATATAAATATATACATATATCTATAAATATATATATATATATATATATATAAATATACATATATATACATATAATTTAATGTATATAAATATATATCAACTATTACATTTGCATTTATCGAATATTAAAAAGTAAGTCAATTGGAACTGTGGCAGTTTCTAAGCAATTGTCGAAAGCAATCTCATCATAGTGTTTGCAACTAATGAAATAGAACATAATGTATCATTAACTTCAACAACAAGACTATATCGTTTATATATGGCTGGTTTTATTATAATTATAAATGTAATGTAACAATTTATGCGATGAGATGATACCAAAGTAATGTGCTATAACATGCTGCCTAGCTTTGTTAATCAAATTGAATTCAACAGAAATAAAACCATAGAGTCTCGAATATGTTTCGAAAAGTAGATAAAAAATCATATTTGTCAATTTGTTTCTCATAATTTATATATGTAGAGCGGGGCTTGAAGGTCCTTTCGTTCCAATTGTCATGTAAAACTGACAAACGATAGTCTTTATCGAGATACATTGAATGGCTATTAAATTTTTAAAATCAGCCTAGTCATTTTTGATAAAACGTCGATTTAAGGTAAAAATCTGTTCATATGCACACACGCAAACATACTTTTTCTAAATTCGGTCTCATTCGATTCAGAATGGATCGAAACGTCGAGAAAACATGAAATTTTTGTTGAAAAAAAAGCAATTTTACAAAAGGTAGGGCTCAAAGTCAAATGGGACCTTAATATATATATATACATAAAAATATTTCGCTTGTTAATACAATATGTATCGAAATGATCAGAGTAAACCTCATAAGTTTAAGTTTTTATAAGTTTCATTAAAAGTAATGTGAAATATTAGTTAATAATAATACAATGCTAAAATAAAACAGATCTTCACATAAAAAATATTTTTCTATTACTAAAAAGAAATTTATGATTATTCACACAAAAGTATAGTTGAATTTATAATCCGCTGTTTTATTGATGAGAGGTTTCATACAAAAATTTAGAATTATTCTGTGCTTCAAAGTTTAGCTAACGTGAGACCAGTAACATTTGAAATAGTTCATGGTGTATAGAAAACCAAAACTTTTGCAATACTAATAATAAAAAAAGTTATTTTAAAGATGAATTATTGAAAATTTTATACTTGAAACATATCACTATCATATCAATGACATAAACGTAGTGCAGTAGTATGATAATGGTGTTTATTAAAATTTTACACATAATTAAATTAAAAGTAGAATTAAAATGTTTTTATTTTGATAAGTATGGGTACTATAAAATCAGTACACAATCTTCTTTTGATCGGTTTATTTAACTTTATAAAATAAAACTTTTCCAACTCTTGTTTTGCGATTAAAAAAGTATAGTAAAACGATAGCCCGAGATAGTTATTTGAGCTGGCCAGATAAAATTACTAAGAAAATTGCTTGGTCCTATAAAACTATTTACGATATCTATAAAGTTTTACCATCGTGCATTAAGAGCTCGGCTCTAACGCTGAATCCGAATAACCACTTCGCGTCAATGATACATAAACTGATATATAACGAGATATAAACTAAAACGCTATTAAGTATAAAAGTTTAAATGGTGCAAATATAAACACAAGCACTACATGCATGTTGCCATTTCGACGAGCTTTTATCTCGAACCAATTTCAAGTTGAGGCGGTAATACAATCTCTGTTCTAACTTTAGGAAAGGATTTAGTAACTTTTTGCGATGTTTGTTATAAACAAACTAAATAGTTTGATACTGTTTATAAATATTTAATTATAACTAAAAGGATTTGTAAAAAAATATCTTTCAAATCAAGAGAATTAGTCTGATCGGAGGACGAGGAGGTTCATATATAACAAGTATTTTTATGGATATTAATGCTTTGTTCTTATATGTAGCAGGAATTTGAACCAAACTAGTGGGACGCATGGCATCGTGCCTTAAGGCAAATTGCTGGTACTTCCCGTACCAAAAATTGATTTACATGTTTGAAAAAAAATTACTTCGAAAAAATTAGATTTTTGAGAAACTATAAATTTGATAAAAAATTACAAAAAAATTTTTTCGTTTTCTTCATTTCGATATATTTTGGAAATTCAGAACTTTTTTTCAAAGCAATCGTACTGCTTGAACTACATAGAGACGAAAAAGCTCGTAAGTGCCGCGCCGCCCTCCAACAGATAAGCATTGGTACGGAACCCATAGAAATGTAAAAAAAAAAAATATACTTATTGTTTAAATCTCTATAAAATATCAGATAATTTGATGTACATATGTCTAATGATCATTTTTGACCGCCAAATGGCATTTTTTTTTACTTTTTTCATTAGATCTCCGAAACCGCTAGACCTACTTTCATGAAAATTTGATCAATTCATGACCAATCTCCGTTCTCTTAAAAACTGAGTTACCATTTTTGGCACTTTTTGCCCCGTATCTTAAGAACGGCTAGACCTGCCTTCGCCAAAAACTAATCAGCACGTCTCCTTATCAATACAAATCGAATGTTTTTTGAATTATTCAAATAGGTTGATCGGTGTTCCCGAAATCGTTGACAAAACACATACATCTATTTTTTCTTATGTATGCCAAAATATTCAGAAACCTCTGAAACGTAAAGATATATAAAAATTTTCATTTTCGATTTTTTTGCGATTACTATAACTGGCCCTACGGGAAGTTAACTAGTTGAGCATGGCAGTATGCCTTAAGGCAAATTGCTGGAAATTCCCGTAACATAATTAAGCATTTGCAAAATAAAAATAATCAATCAATAAAAGTCGTTGGATCAATCGATGGATAAAATCAATTAAATAGTTACAAATAATCATTATATAAATAGTGTAAATTTTATCATCGTATTTTATAAATCTGATTTTTGACATTTTTTGCCTCGTATCTTCGGTTGCACGGTTGCACCTCCCTTTCGTGCACATACACCACACACATGTCACACATATATACATTTTTTCTAAGGTTTGCCTAAATGTTCAGAAACCTTTAAAACGTAAAAATTTGCAAAAATAATATATTTTACATTTTTGTGTTATTACTATAACTTACCCTAGACTCACGTGATTGGGTGCATGGATCAACCGATATTAATAATTAAAAAAACATTCGATTCCTATTGATGGGAAGACGTGCTGAAGCAAAAAGTGCCAAGAATGATTTAGTTTTTTAGGTAATGATGCGCTCTATTTGAATGACTCAAAAATATTCTACTTGCATTGATGAAATAAAGAATTGATTAAATTTTTGGAAAGGCGTGTCCAGAAATTTCCGAGATACTGGTGAAAAAGTAAAAAAAAATATATTTAGCGGTCTATATCATTAGACATATGCACATCAAATTGTCAGATATTTTATAGAGATTTTAAATAAGTAATTTTGTTACATTTTCTTAATTTCGGTATTTAAAAAATTTAGTTTTCATTATAAATTATAAAATCATTATAAATTCATTTAACTAAACTAATTCCAAATTTTCAGAACATTTTTTTTTAATTTTCAAAAATATACAAAGTTTAATACTTTAAATATAAATGGTAAACTTACTGTTTATAAATGTATATATCATAGACGTTATTCTGATTGCAAAAAATATATTCTCAGATGGATTCTTTTAGCATTTTTTGTTAATCCTGAAGTGTTTTTTGCGATCATATCGTCACGATTTAATATATAAGCAGTAAAATACATAGTATTTATAATTATTTACTTGAAAATATTTAAAACAATATGTATTAATCATTGATCAATATTTAATGATTTCTGATTTTTCCCCTCTAATATTTAATTTTAGAACGAAAAGTTCCAGCAATTTGCCTTATGACACCATGCCATGCACCACTAGTTTATCATCATTTATAACGCATCAAAAAATGTGAAAAATGATTGATATGAGTCATAACTGGCGTTTAATTTTTGGCGTCTCTATCGGAGTCTTCAACATCTCTATCGAAAATTTAATTGTATCTAATAGTACTCACTCAGTCTCGATTCGTTGTCGCTGGAAGGTGCTTCGCAGTCAATAAGCGATGAAGTGAGAGCTACATAGCTGCCGGTACCTCCGTTGACAAGCAAAGGTGACGTGGCGGGGCTTCCAGCACCTCCAGGAGGCGCCTGTCCCACCGGCGAGGCAGCGCTACTACCACCGGCACCGCCATTCGACGACGGCGCCAAGTTCATCAGGAGATCCTGGAATAATGATTATAAGATGTAATATTTGAACATAATTCACTTATAAACGTATAGAAACATGAAAAACTTAACACTATAAAATTTATTAATTAAATGCTAATTTGAATGCAATTTTTTTGGCTCTGTGGTGAATTTATAATTTCCAAAAACAATAAAGACTATAATGTAAACTATAGTTGGCAGTCTAAAAAAATATTGGAAAACCATATGAAAATAAAACTTTATGTATGTTATGAGTATGATGCAAAACTAGCTGTCCTACTATTATTTCATAGCAGTAGAGAAGAATACCAGCAACCATACTATTACAGATCCTAATAGTCTTACTCGATCTCTTTTCTGGTCTACTGGTCAAGATGCCAACACCTTCGAGGGCAAACAAGTTAGAATATCTAATTACAGAATATAACTATTAAATCATTCTAATTGTGACTCAAATGCCAATGATTAGAGTAAAGACGGACAGAATGATCTATATGGACAAAATGATACATTATTCAAAATTATTATAGCCTTATTTAAAAATTGGCTAAGGTCAGTAACGTTTTCGTGAAGAAAGCGATAATAAAACCTGTCAGACGTTGATCGTCATTGTCACAATCTTCCAAAAGTTTATTTTGACGGTATTTTGCTCAAATATTCTTTGAGACTTTTTTATTGTTATTTGCAATTATTTATATTAGAATCAATGAACCGATAAAAGTACTAGTGTATTCAAGCAATTTTGGTTGATAATGACCATCGAATGGCGTTGATTGTATATTTATTTTTGTTCACTTACGGACTAAATGACACACTTATCAAAAGACACAGTACTATTTAGTGAGCACTACACTGTAATTAATTCAAGGCAAAGTAAAAAGAAAATGGTGGCGGTTTTTACCTTCTAATCTAACTACTTCCCAAACAGGCCAAAGAAGTACTTTTTAAACCAGTTGAAACAAGAGACTTGCATTTATTGAAAAATTTCCTTTCCTTGTCTAAGACATGAGAAGTTTGTTTCATGTCTTAGACAAGAATTTGTTTGCTATGCGATCGATTTATTTTTGCATTTTTTTTATTAAATATATAAATAATTCAAGATGAGTAAAAGCGATTGAGACTGATTATAATATCATTAAATAAGTATCATTAAAAACCAAAATACCATGTCATATTGTCCGACTTCTATAATACATATGCAATTAACTATATATATATTAATATATATAAAGTGTAGTAATATTTACATAGATAAGCTAATTAAAAAACTGATTGATATCTGTGCACAACTTTTAATTAGGAGTCGGGTGCGCCACGCACAAATGAACAACATGACAAAACATGCATAACACTGTTGATTACGTTTGTTATGTGCAAAATTAATTACCTTCATGTTTATAGTAACACCAAATGGATTTCTTAATATCGTAGGCGATCCTTGAAGTTTTTGTCGTCTACTCAATATCAAGATGATTACAAAAACAACTAAAAGCAATAGCATAACAGCGGTCAAGACGCCTATAACGGCTTCTACATAACCACCTTCATCTTGATGAGCTTGTACTAGAAAAAAGTCAAAGTTTAATCTAACTTATTCACATATAACAAAATAAATAGATAAGTGCTTAAATATGATATAATGAGAAATATTAAAAGAATATTTGTAAAAATGTCATTTATGCCAACGTTTGATTAATCGGTAGAATATTTGATTTCCAAAAATTTTCCTTCTATAAAAATTTTTTAATTTTAGATTGCTTTTCTTGATTGCTTTATGATATAATGTTGATCCATCAGAAATAAAAAAAGCAATGCACTCTATCTAAGCATTCAAATCAAAGGATATTGAATAGCAACATAATTGCAAAACTACAAATTAATTATTAAATTCGTTGAAATGTTATCAATAAAATATAATTTGATATTATTTCATTTGGAGAGTTAACTAATTTAACAATAAGGTTTGTAGTAATTCCAACCGTATGAAACGACTCTTAATAAAAGAATTGGTTGAAATAGCAAAAGTGTGCATGTCTTCTGGGTAAATCGTTGCAATTATTCATGATACATTGATATAAATTGAGAATTTATTTTGAAAAATTTGAATTTGATTTGAAAATAGTATTTACCGAAGTTAGAGTAAGTTATATTATTCTCTATCAACGTAATATTTTAATTTTTAGCTTTCTTAGTGAAATTATGTCAGTAAAATAAGTGCGAAAGTAATCAATATTTTAAGTAACAGAAAACTGTATCAAAACGCCAAAATATGGTATAGACAGATAAAATACATTATTGAAGTTATATTACCTGTTTCAAATGTATCAAAAGCTACCCCAATTTCTGGGTTGACCAAAATTTCTTCGTCACTGGTATTTAACTCAATTTCATCCGTTGCGTTGTATCCTAATGGTTCTGGAAGAAAAAATGGTTTAGGTAAAATAATTCTTCATAATTATTCATAATCAATTTTACAAACCACTATCAAAGAGGACTTCGCTCAGCATAATCCATGAAGCTGCAAAATAAAGTCGAATTTTGACAAATCTTGCCAATCTATGATGTAAAGCTATTGTCACATCTCGGGCTACTTCTAAGGCTCTGTCAGGCATATAAGAATATCCCAGAGGTCTACCATTGTAATGTAAACCACCAACGGAAAACCAGATTTTTGCTCTTGAAAAAACCTGAAATGATATTTTATAAATATAATATTATTGCTAGATTCCCTCTCATACTAATGATATATTTCCAATTTGTTGGATCATTGGCGCAAAAGAGCAATTTTAACTTGCAAACATATTTATATAAATATTTTCACATAAAAATTATAGACATTACTGCTTGATATCAGTCTGAATTGTGCCAAATCTGAAATCCCGCTGTTGCAAAGCCAAAGTTCTGATGGCAAAGTAATATTATTATTTTTTAACTTCCCGAAAAAGAAGTTTATGTTCTCATCAAAAAATTCGATTAGCTAATTTTATATTTTCTCGACGTTTCAAGCCATTCTAAATCGAATGAGACCAAATTTGGAAAAAGTATGTGCGTGTGTGTGTGAACACATTTTTTGTCGTAAATTGAAGTTTTCTCAAAAACGGCTGGATAGATTTCAAAATATTAAAAGCCATTCGATGTATCTCGATGACAAATATAGTTTCTCAATTTTGAGCGATTATCGGCCGAGTCGTTTCTTTGTAAATAGCAGAAAAGAAAAGAAAAATCGTCCACGCTTTAGCCTGCAGTTCCGAATCGATTTTAAAAAATCAAAAACTGTTTAAAAGATATTGATTTGGAATGATACTAATTAGCTTTAGGTGAAAATCAACCGGAACGTTTTCTTGTAATTAACAATTGCAGAAAAAATTGTTGATTTTTATGAATATTTTTTGAAGATAGATATCACAGTCTTATAGACCATACGAAAATAGTCCTTCGACAAATAGTTTAATGTTAAAAATTCATCAAAGTTTGAGAAAATAGTCAAAATTTGTGTCACATTCGCTTTTGTGATGTGTTGAGTCAAACATTATAAATTCAATCAAAATATCAATTTTAGGGCTTACAAGCACGTGTGTGTGCAATATAATTAATATAATTACAGTTAATTTAAGTATGTTTCAGAAAGCTATTCAAAATCGCAATATTTAGATTTAATTGAGAGCGATTGCTTCTTTTTTAAATAAACAGTTAGAAATTTTATCTAATATCTAAATTTCAATTTCGATTAATTAAATCAATTCTAACACATTTCGTAAAGTTCGTGCAACTTGCCTTAAGGCTAAATGTCACTTTTAACTAGTTCAAAATTGAAGTAATAATCATAAAACTTACTAAACGCATGAAGAATATTTATTATTTTTAACGTGTATTTTGTAGATTCTATTTTAGGAATAAAATTCAAACATTTCTATTGAAAAATTGATAAATAGCTTTCGGACAATTCCAAGGGCTGTTGAAAATAACAATTTTGGAACGAAATTTTTAATTTAGCGACAAATTTTAACAGTAGTAAAAACATAAACAATTGAATTATTTTTCTAGAGACAATTTTATCATAAAACTGAAAATTGATTAAATTGAAAATAATGGATTCATAGAAATTTTTTTTGAAAACTGATATTTATATGTCAAGTGTTTCGAGTACTTGATTCATCTACATGACTATTTTTAGTACTTTTTCTACCGTAATCGAATGGATAGGTATATATTGAAAATCAATATGCTCTGCACTTTAAAATAAGTTTTGATTTATTACAAATGGTAAAGCTACTTTTTCAAACGTAGATGGATATATACATACACACATAGTGCGCATACACTCTACAGAATACACATAACAGACATTTTTCTACAATGGACCAAAAATGTAAAGATTACAAAGTCTTTTCTCTGTGTTTTCTGTAGCAGATCCTGAGGTATGTTAATTAATAGATTTTTACCTTACGATTTTAATATAAACTGGATGGTAAATTAGTTTCTTCTTTGAGATAGTGCATCTTTACATTTTGCAAATACAAAGATGATAGGGAATCCTATTAACTATAAATATCTTTACCTGGACATCTTTGCTGAAGAAGTTGTTGGTGAACAGATGAATGGCACTGAAGTTCCGCAACTGATCGAACTCGAAGATTAACTCTACGTATCGTTCGCCTAATGAAGTGTTCCTCCAACCTACCCAGCCGTTTCCTGAAAGATATCGGAATCATCAAAGAACATCTGGGTTGGATTCTGGATAATATGATAAACTATATAAATAATATGTATGAATTTTATTAACTTTCCGCAGGGTAAGTAATATTAATCGCGAATAATCGGAAATGAAAACATTTATAGATCTTTTCGTTTCAAAGGATTCTGAACATTTTGGAATACCTTAAAAAAAAGGCTATTGTGTGTGTGTGTTCCAAAGCTTTGTCGACGCTTTCGGGAACACGGTTCAACCGATTTAAATGATTGAAAATACATTCGATGCATATTGATAAAAAGACGTACAGATTAACTTTTGCCTCAAAAATACGGGGCAAAAAGTGCCACAAATGGTAATTCAGTTTTTTGCGAGAATAGAGCGTTTGATTTGAACAATGCAAAAAATATTTTACTTGTATTGAGAAAATAAACAACTGAATTTTTGGATAGACAGGTCTAGCTGATTTGGAGCTTCTAGGAAAAAAATAACAAAAAACATTTAGCACTCAAAAATGATTATTAGACATATTATGTACATCAAATAATAATGAGTACAAATTGTACGTTTGAGGTACGCTGTACTATTGCTTTGTTAAAAAAAGTTCTAAAAAATCAAAAAGTTTCAAAATATTAAAAATAAAACAAATTTTTCAAATTTTATTTTTTTTTAAACTAATTCCTTTATTTTTAATTTTTGTTACGGGAAGTTTCAGCAATTGAGGTACGATGCGATGCATCACTAATTATTTATTAATTTATTACTATTGAATTAAAGAATATTTTGCCTAAGAAATGTAATTTCAAACATAATTACCAAAATACACACACATACAATGCATACATAAACAAACTAGTATAATTCATTAAAATTCATTAAAATTCTAGTTAAATCCTAAAAAATACTAATTGCTAAATTCTAATGTCGATAGCTGTTATAAATGTATATAAATGTAATCTAAAAAAAATAGTATTTTAAGTTTATAGGATATCACATCCTATCTGAATATGATAATATTAAAAATCCATATAAAATATCCAAGTATGCAAATGAACTTTATCGTTGTTTCAGAATTTCAATGAGAAACTAGAGCTGTATGGCATCGTGCCTTAAGGCAAATTGCTAGAACTTCGCAAACCGTTACAAAATATTCAAAGCATATTAAATATTTTCAAATTGATTATTATAAATAGTGTAACTTGCAATATTTTTTGTAGGCAAAATATTTGAATGATTAGAGATTTGAATGATCCAAATCATCTATTCATCATCTATTCGTTATGAAGAGGAAAAGTGGTAATTAGTTTTTAGCAAAAGCAGATCCAGCCCTTTCGGAGAGACGGAGCTAAATGTGCAAAAAATGACAGTTTTTTTTGGAGAACAAAGCTTCCGATTTGGATGATTCTTTTGCTTGTATCGACTAAAAGATTGTTCTGCAGAAAGCAAAAAAAATATTTTAGATATTTTTTTTAACATACCAAAAATATATTTTTTTGAATATCGAAAATAATTCTAATTTTAATTTTATTTCAAGTGAAAATTCTAAGGCTTACCTATATACTTGAAATATCTCTTATCATAATGTATTTGAAAACATTTTTTTTAATTTATTTGAACAGTGATCAGAATTTATGGGTTCTATGAGCTGTTGTGATGAATTTCTTACAAACTATATTTGTTTTATCATAAATGGCAACCCAAACAGTTGTGTCATCTCTATGTGCTGAATTTTCATTATTACAATTGTTGTAATAGGGCCGTATTAGGGCAGTTTTTGCTTGGAACATATAGCTATCTATATTTCCAAAGTGGAAATCGTTGTCACTAAGGAATGCAATACCGATGGAAAATTTCAGTACCGGTATTTCGGTAATTTTTCATTTTAAAACCGGGATACCGGTAAATTACCGATATTTTTATTATCTTAAACAAACGTAAACAAAATTGACAGTTACTAGTACAAATATAAAAAAATGTATATACAACTACAAATATATTCAACTAAACAATAAAATCAAAATAAAACCATAAATTTATTTTTTTTAAATAATAATTTAATACAATTATATCCAATTTAATTAATTCATTATCACTATTGAGTACGTTGAGTACTTTTCACCAAAAACAAACTTATGAGTAAGAAAGACTAAAAACGCATAAAATAATTATTATAATAAACTGCCTGTATCCGATGTGTTAAATTAGCAAAATCTCCAATATTTAAAAAAAAAAATTCTACATTAATTTAAGATCGGATAGGTACTTTGTCGAGATAAATAATAAGTTACTATAATTGTTGAGTATTGTTATTTAAAACAATGTGATGATTCTATAGTATTTTTAAACTTCGAAACGTTTTTCAAAAATAATATTTTATAATTGTAATAAGAAGCAAAAATATTTAGTAACAATCATAATTATTATGTATAAAGTTAGAAAAAAAATAAAGATTACGCAGAGGTAATCTGTATGATATAAAATATTTTGGTGCAAATAACACTTAAAAAACTGTTACATTTTTACATAGGATGAAACAAACATCATTATCTACCAGTCCAATTCTATTTATTGTAACACGATATGTAGCTCTTAGTAAAGCAATAAATATTCAGTTTAATGACGAGTTGAAATAATATTTGACATTTGTTAATCCTATAGAATCACTTGAAGATGTAGCTGTTTATGCGATTATGGAATTTAAAGATAAATTTGTTCCGAGAAATTTAAACTTTAATGTATTATGTATCAAATAACGCTTATATAAAAATACCGAAAATACCGGTATTTTTGGGGTAAATACCGGTAAAAATACCGCCGAAAAATCGGGCGGTTTACCGGTAATTCGGTATACCGGTATACCGGTATTGCATTCCCTAGTTGTCACTACTGCCTGACAACAGGCTGCTCAAAGTGGGTATCGAACCCGGGATCAAAAACATATAATATTCTTCGAATATTTCATTTCGGTTCCAGCCATTTGCCTGTAGGCATTATGCCATACACTGCCATAGTTAGTTTTTGTTTTAAAATATTTTTTGCTTCTTCATTGTACTCTATTACATTTTCCATATATGTAGCAATGTATCGATTGTGTATTGTAATTTAATACAAAAAATAATTGTGTTGCTTTGAAGAGGCTAGATAAATGTAAAATTAGAATAATAATAGATAATTTAACGCGGGATTAAATGGAGAGTAAATTAATTATATTCTAAAATGAGAGTAAGTTGAACACTTAATTGATTCCGATAGTAACCAATGCTTAATACTCTAGAGAATTTTTTTTTCCATATAAATAAATAATTATATTTACCTTTACCGTAACCTATATCTAGTCGGAAATTATCGGCCCCGTACTGTCCATCGACGAGCCTGCCCAAGCCGCCAGTTAAACGACCGGAGGTTCGGTTGCCGTCGTAGCTGGAGTCGCTCAGTTCGGGCTCCGGAGACTGCGGTATTGAATAACTAACGATACCACCTAGAACAAGCCATCATTATAAGTTTAAATATGTTATATAAAATATACTTGGTAATAAAATAAATTATTTATTATAAAAGTTACATATACATTTGATGTACATGGTTATGAATAAAGCGATGATAAATCATTTGGATAGGGCAGGGTGGAGCACAAAGGTCCAATTTGAGTTTGAGCATTTATATCGTGAAAATCAAAATAATTATATCAGAACAAATAACACATATCAAACAAACATCTGACTATGTTCAGTAAATTTCCTAGATAATTCGTAAGTGTAGGACTATGTTTTTTTGCTATTTTTCAAAAAATTGTCACCTGGATCTTTTCACCCCAAAGATAGGGTAAATTTGGTCAGCCAACAAACAGATATAATGTTTTATTTTAATTCTAAAGGTATTTAACAACTTTGTGTGAGCATTTGTATCGGTGTAAAAACTAAACTTTCCAAACAGTATTTAAACAAACTTCTGTCCTTAGTTGCATATATTTTGTATCTAATATAACTAGTTGCACAAATAATTCTGTTGAATCTAACTTAGAAATAAAGTCACATCTCATAAAATAATTATATGAGATATACTTCAAAATCACATTAAGGTCTGGTAAACTAAACAACAGTGCTCACAACCAGAAAAATCTAACATAGAAATTACTTTTGTTATGGATTCTTAGACATTGCCGTTTATCTCCAGATATGAACGTCGGAGGAATCAAGGTGATGTCTGATTATACATATTTTTCCTTCTACTTTCAAATATTGTTAATAAAAAATTCGTAATTTTACTGGTTTTTGAGATGTCGGTCGTGGACCTATGATCCCCGCTCTACCCTATACCAATAATCTTTAAAAAAGTTTGTGTAACTTCTCGTCTCATAGGTAGAATTAATTGGACTAAAGTTAAAATTTATAAAATACTATTACTTTTGAATGATAAAAGTCAAAAAAATCCGTGGCGTGTTCATTTAGTAAAATTCATCTGGTTTTCTTATATTAATAGTTAATTTATTTAAACTAGATAAACTAAATATACTCCATTACTATCGACTATATTTAGGCATTTTTCTGACACAGTCACGATTCATGATCGGTGAAAAACTTATGTTAGTCAACTCAATCAATAACTAGTAGTATCAATGATATCAAAAACAAGTGAACTGTGAATAATTTCAACAATACTAGTTTGAAGAAGAGCAAAATTTATGTGTAATCAAGATAATAAGTATTAAATAAGTCAAGGCTTTAAATCAGGCGACATCGCAATCGAAAGGTAAATGGTGGCCATTTATAATATAGTCAAATTTTTAAACAAAACTTTTTTTCGTTGTTAGTGTTAAAACACGCTTGTTTAGTTTACTATACTTGTTTTAATTTTTCATTATTTTATTGTTTTATGTAATTTTAAGCCAGACTTATATAGCCAATAGAATAACTCACATGCGATTGGGGTAAAAAGGACCTCCCAAACCTCTACACTGGCGATGTGTGAACAATAAAAAAAAAGTTAATAAAAATGTAAAATAAGTTAAAAGAAGCAATTATGCAAGTGTTAAATTGAATTAATACTTTGATCAAGTTATCAAATTATTTGAAAATTGTTTATCTTCAAAAAATATTGAATTTTATATAAATTTTCAATATTTTGAAATATTTTTTTAATATTTGAATTAGACTATTTGGCAAATAGCTCCATAACTTCACCTTCAAATTTGCGCCATTTATTATGCTAAAATTCTATCATTATACGTGTAATTTTATCTAAAAAAAAAATTGTAGCTGAATGGCTTTGATATGCGAGTTTCAGTTTTGTCTGTCAACTAGCTATACTTTATATTATCACATAAAGGAATCACAAACGTAATTCAATAAAACATACATATTTACTCAAATTCAAACATAAAATCTTTTATCATTAAAGTTTGTCAATAAAACTTTCCTCAATATAACAAAAACAAAAACATTTTTCTTTGATAAAACTGAAAATACAGCATTTCGCTATCTGAAATAATACATTATAACATGTCAGACGTTGCCTTTTAGTACGGGAAAAAGTCCAAGGAGCTTGTCGTTCGTTCAGTGGGAATAGAAATAAGAATGAATAAAAATGATATTCGGATTGTCAAATACATCATAAGCGACGACCGATCCATCATTTCCACTCAAACACATCGCGTGTGGGTACTGGGTAACGCCGTACACAATGTTAAATGTACCCGCATACATTTATGCACACGCCAGGATAAAGATCACAGGTCTTAGGAACACGTTTTATATGCCAACGTACATTATATTCTATCTGAATGAAAATGGTTAAAATATTGCTCAAACTGTACGAAATTTATTTATTTAATATATAATACAACGCAAACTATGAATTTATTTTCGATGACGACTTATTTTCCTAAATTATCTATATATTTATTTATTTAAAACCAATTACAGAAGAAACTAGATTAACCTGACTAATTTGTTGTCGATAGGAATTTGAATAATCAAAAACCCGGATAATTGAATGTTTGAAGAATAATGTTGTGTATTTGTTAAGATTAACAAATACACACATAGATATTATTAAAAGAATTAAGAAATTAAAACGAATAATAAATATGTATGTACATATATATTTTCTTAGATTACATCACATACATATACTAAACTTAATTCGACTTGTAGATATGTACATACATAGAAATTGGTCGCAGTTGGTATTTAACGGTTGTGTAAAGCTGATATTGATGTTACAAATAAGTGTTATGTTATATTTTTACATTGAATTCTTTAATCAACATAATCATCCAGCTACATAGTACAATTAATATTTAATATAGAAGAAACCAGTGGTACGTAGCATCGTGCCTTAAGACAAATTGCAGGAACTTCCAATACCGTAATTATTTTGAATATGTTTCGTCTCTAAACAGGCAAAATTTCTCAATTTATTTTTAAGATTTTATAAATTTAAAATAGCTGTACAGGAAGTTCCAGCAATTTGCCTTAAGATGTCACTAGTTTATGTTTAATGTCATGCACCACTAGTTTATATATTTATTTTTAACAAAAAATGAAGAGAAGTAAAAGAAGTTTTACATATAAGTATGAAATAAAACTAGTGGTGCATGGCATCATGCCTTAAATTTCAAACTGCTAGAACTTCCGGTACTGTAATGAAATAATCCAACAATATTAAATATTTTCGAATAAATTATTATAAATACTATAACTTTTAATATTCATGCTTTATACACAAAATATAAAAGCTTATAAATTGGACGATGGCGTTTACATATGTTTACACAAACAAGTAAATAAATAAACTGGATCAAGGAGTTAGGATGAAGAACTTATCTCAAATATATGAACTGAATTCCAAAAATAAAATGATCTATTTCAAGAATATAAGTCAGCTAGAATTAAGTATAAAAGTGAGCTCAAAATTCAGCTAGAATTAAAATTAACTAGCTGTAAGTGGAATTCTGTCTTGAGGCAATTATGGCATCGTGCCTTAAGGCAAATTGCTGGAACTTCCCGTACCGTAACGAAATGTTCGAGGAATACTGAATGTTTTCAAATAGATTATTATAAATATTGTAACATTGTCTAATATTTATAAGAATTATATAAACTGAATTGCTGAGTTGAAATTATTTATAAAGTATATTAGAACTAATAGTCAGAATTAAAAATAAAATCTGAAATATTTTCGATATACAAAAAACTAAAAAAAAAAAAAAAGTTGGTACAAAATTTTTTTTCCCAAAGTCAATTATTTTGTTAAGACAAGCAGAAAGTTCTTTGAATCATTTAAATCGGATGCTTAGTTCTCTCAAAACCTGCCATTTTTTACATATTTAGCTCCGTATCTTCGAAATGGCTGGGCCTGCATTTGCCAAAAACTAATAAACTCTTCTCCCAATCATTACTAATTGAATGTTTTTTAGATGATTCAAATCGGATACTCCGTTCTCTCAAAAATTCGATTTCTATTTTCTGCACTCATTGCTCCGTATCTCCGAAACGGCTGGACCTGCCTTTGCCAAAAACTAATCAGCTCTTTTCCCTATCAATAGGAATCGAATGTTTTTTGAACCATTCATATCGGTTGATCCGTGCGCCCTAAAACGTGACTGGAAATTTGTATCCATACATACATACACACACACACACACATACACACACACACACACATCCATTTTTTCTGAGGTATGCCAAAACGTTCAGAAACCTTCAAAACGTCGAGAAATGTAAAAATTTTCAATTCCGATTTTCGGCCCATTACAATAACTTACCCTACGGGAAGCTAAAAAATTATTTTTCTATATTCAAAGAAATTTTTTCTGAAATTAATTTTAATAAAAACACTGTCAACACAATCAAAATGTGTTTTGAATCGTTCTGATCAGATAATCCGTTCTCTCAAAAACTAAGTTTTTGCACTTTTTACTCTGTATATCCTAACGACTGGACCTTCTCTCTAGCAAAACTAGGCGGTACATCTCCCCGTCAATACAAATCACATGTTTTTATGATCAATTTAATCGATCGCTCCGTTCTCTCAAAAATTTAATTCACACTTTCTGCACTTTTTGGTTCGTATCTCCGAAATGGTTGAACCGGTCTTTGACAAACAATAATCAGCACCTCTTTATGTCAATACGAATCGAATGTGTCTTGAATAATTCAAATCGATTGATCCGTGCTGTCTTATTTTAAGAATGTCTTGAAAATTCGTATGCAAACTTTTTCATTTTTCCATTTCTGGGACATTGCTATAATTTACCCTATGAAAAGTTCATTATTTCGAAGCCGATGCAATAAATTAACAATATTTCACTTTCTTCAATCTCAAATCTTATTATGACCCCCAACACTACATAAGTAACTATATAATATATAGTATATATAAAGAAAAAGAAAGGATAAGCCAAGTTTTTGTAAAATGGTAATATCATGACTAAATACCATATTGAATATTAAGAAACTAACTACTAGCCTCTAGGTT